GGTCTGTAGCGCTGAGACTGCAATGTCTCTTGTGACCTCCCATCGTTGCAAGCGCTGTAACAAGAACGAACATATTAAATTTTTTCACATCAAATGTGTAAAAAGAGTAGTATACCTTGAGTAAAAGGAGAAGTACCTTGACAATACGGACAAGCTTTATTAATATTTCATCATCGAACTCTGTCTCTTGTTTGGTGAGCCTCTGTATTATATCTTTATACATCATTTCCAGTATTTCTTCACCAAAAACCTCTATCATTAATGGACAGTGTTGTTTAGGTTTCAGTAACAAAATGTGTGATAAGGATCTATACAGTACAAGATAATTGTTATTGGTTTCCTCAGTAATCCGGTAAATGGTCTTTACTTATTTGTGCCGGTAATACAAACTCCTAAAAAGAAAATAACCAAGAAAAAGCGAAACGACACAAAAACTAGTGTTGGTGCGCTAATTAAAAATGTCGGGAACGAAATTTTACATAGAATTAGGGATTGGAACCGCCTAAAATTTTTTCTTAATCGTTTAATCGTTTAACTGTTTAACCGTTTAATTTGGCCGGTATTAAAATAATTTCAGCTCACGACCAACATAATTCCGCCCGGCAATTTTTAAACGGTTAAACGGTTCCAATCCCTAGCAATAATTTGTGTTTTTTTTACGCGCTTTGTTTATTTACAAACTTAAAATTTCTTTTTTGGCACAAATAAGTAAATCCTGGTAAATGAAAAAATTGAAAGCATACAATATCTGCTGTGTATGGCTTTCCACAAAAAGACCCTCTCTATTTGCCAATTCTAATGACATTTCCTTAAAAAGATGCCACTTTTTAGAGACATCAATATTATTTACGAGCCATCTAGACTCTTTTCGAGGCAAAGGTCCCAATTGCAGTCCAAAAAACATCATTGATTATTGCTGGGCACCTAGGTTCAATTCCGGTATCCGACTCGTCAGATTCCTGGCTGTTATCAAATAAGAGGTTGCCTGCATGTTGTCGGCGTGGTGATGGAGAAGTTTCTCTGTCTTGATATTGCCTCTTAATCATTTCTTCTTCATTATAATTTTGACGTTGTTTTTTTCTTAAAGAATAATTGTTTTTATTCGAATCAATAAAATTTTCCTCTTGGTAATTTTCGGAAGTGCGTTTTATGACCTGTCTGCGCCGTTGCCCCACTTCATTTATATAATCGTTATGTTCCAATGTACGCTCCACAGCAAATTCCATCTAAGAAATATCTGTTATTACTTATTTTGAAACAAAAGCAGAGAAGAAAATGCTTACATCTAAATTTTCAAGAATAGCTTCAAATTCCTTGGCATTTCTATCATGTTCAACGCCTTTCCAGAAGTCATTTGCCTCATCACTATTTGCCTCTTTCTTTTTGTTTATGAGAGATCGATTAGCATCATCTATAATAACTGATGCAATTGTTAGCTGATATTCGTAAGTACATCGAACACGAATGGATCATCAACGACTTAGCCTAGAACAGTACGCATCAAACACAAATGGATCAAAACAAACTGTTCAGATTGTTAAGGCGCTGTGATGTATTAACGAATACCAGCAGGTAGACACGTCAGAACTCGAATGGATCATCAACAACTTAGCCTAGAATGATTCGCATCGAACACAAATGGATCAATGTAACGAACTGTTCAGATTGTTAAGTTGTTGTTGACGTGTCAAACCTACTTTCATTCTAAGCTGATCACTTAACTGTAAAGTTATTCAAGGCAGAAGTTCCCACTGATCGTTCTTCGTTCGAGCCGGTTGCTACTATTACACCTAGAGTTCTCAAATATGTATTATGTTCTTTTTGTTTATTGCCTGTCCAAGTATCTTCGTTCTTTCGAAAGTTGAGGAAGTTAAGAAGCGACCAATTCGAAGTTTCTGAAAAAAAGGCTGTTTTCATTTTTCAACTATGAAGAGAATATATAACTGTATTCCGGGAAATCTATATCGAAATATTACAGCTAATTTCAAAATTCATGGACACCAAGAATTTATTGTCTGGCAGGAACAGGTGAGACCATCCCAAATTAGGAAATTGATTCCGATATGGTTACACGATTCATTAAAATCTTTTTAGTATACAGTTTATAATAGTCTTTGCACGAGGTTATCTGGTGGCTCATTTGTGTTATGCAATGAATTAAGAAATTTAGCGAATTTAATAATATCTGGTGAATCCACTTGAATCCAACAGCTTTTATATTACGATGTATCTAATATTTGCCTAGTAAGAGAAATCGTAATATAAAAGCTGTTGGATTCGAGTGGATTCACCAGATATTATTAAAATACGATGTGTAAGCCACAAAATTTGCTAAATTTTTTAGTTCGTTGCATAACACAAATGAGCCACCCGATGACCTCGTGCAAAGACTATTATAAACTGCATAAAAAGATTTTCAATGAATTTGTATAACCATATCGGAACTAATTTCCTAATTTGGGACGGTCTCACCTGTTACAGTGTGCACATCTTCCCCACGTAGATTAAATTTATTTAGGGAATTAGCAAGTTAATTTATGAAATCTTTAAATAAATAAATTTATGCTTACCGACTAATTAACAAGTATAAAGTTGTGAGTGATATTGTAAGTATGAAATATAATACAGCAATAACTTATTTTAAATATTTAGCATTCTTTATACTCACAAACTACGTAAATCACATAAAATCAATCAATAATTATTCATAAAACAGAATGGCTTATTTTAAATACTTAGATCAATAAATGTTTTTTTATACTCACGGACTAAATTAATATGAACAAAATCAATTAAATAGTAAATATTTGTGAACTTAATATTTCTTATTTTAAATACTTAGATAATAAATGTTCGTTATACTCACCAAATAAATTAACGTATATAAATAAACAGTAATATTCGGAATTTAAATAGCTTATTTCGAATCATAAATATTCTTTATACTCACGGACTAAATTAACATGTATAAAATGATATTAATAGTAAATATAAACTCGAATAGCTTATTTTAAATACTTGGATTAATAAATGTTTTTCATACTCACTCACTAAATTAACATAAATAAAATAGTATATTCATAAAATTAAATAGCTTATTTTAACTGCCTAGATTAATAAGGCCACTCCAAATTGATTCTTCGTTTAACATAACATTAAATAGTTTATAAGGGTGGGGGGGAGGGCGTGAAAAATACACAAATTAAAAAAAACAGCAATTTTATTGGTTGATTTAACATATGTTAGTTA